TTAATTTCCCAATGTAAGATATTTGTCTTTCATATCATTATGCCTCAAGAACTTCAAGAATTGCGTGAAATATTGTTGTATTGCTAGACTCAAGATATATCATCGTCGCCACCATCATCATCATCATCAGTTGCTCATATGATTTGTTCTGTATCTTCAGTCCCTTATTATTTGTTATCTTTTTATTCTTTATCTTTCATCGACACTTGTTCAAAACTTACCGAATGCCGTCCTTCCCCAGCCAACCACGAGCAGATTTTCGTTCAGGTAATCTCTGTTCGGGTCATTGAAAGGCAGACACGCAGGGAGAACGGCATCTGGAAAGGGGGAGATTAATATGCTGCAAAAAATATATGTCTATGGAAAACATAGAAATCAAGAAAGTCCAAGAATTTAAATATCTGGGGTCAACAATGGACAAAGAGACATTCTCACGGAAGTTAGCAAGAGACTGCAGTCAGATTGGAAAGGGTGGAGAAAGGTTTCTAGCGTCCTATGCGACAGAAATATGTCTGCAAAGATCAAGGGCAAGGTATACAGAACTTGCGTGAGACCAACCATTATGTACGGCCTGGAAACTATCCCCCTCACGAAAGCTGCTGAAAGCAAAATAGAGGTAGCAGAGATGAGAATGCTGCATTTCTTGCTGGGGCTGACGAGGTCTTTTTAAATAGGGTCCCAAACGCGGAAGCTAGAAAGGAGCTGCAAACTAGAAGATTTGGGGATAAGCTAAGAGAAAGTAGGCTGAGGTGGTTCGGGTATGTAAAGAGGAGACTAGAGGACTACGTTGGGCGAAAGATGGTGGAGATGGCACCACCAGGAAAGAGGAGGAGAAGGAAGCCAAAGAGAAGATTCATGGATGCTTTCAAAACGACGTGGAAATAGAAGAAGATGGAGGGATTTAACGCGCTGTGGCGACCCCTAACAAGGGAACAAGACTACTCTTAATAAAATCCTAAGATTTACACTAAACCCTAAACCGGACAATCTACATAAATATTTACATATGTATATATGTGTGTATATATGTATGTGTATATATGTATGTGTATTTATGTATGTGTATATATGTATACATATACATATATACATGTGTGTGTGTGTGTGTGTGTATCGTTAACCTATTCGTTAACTCATTTTCGCCGTTTCGCCACAATACTTTATCACAGTGGTGTATGACTTTTGATATATAGCACATTTATTTGTTTTAATTATTCTGCAAATTCACAAAAAAAACTTTCTTACCTGGGGACTTTGCCCCCCCCCCCAACCCCATCCTATCGCTACATTTTCTATACACCGCTAGTGACCACAGATGTTGCCGCGGCACCTCCAGCAACGCCGCATCAACCACAGCACTGTCAACACCATAGCCACCTCCAACATCAACACCAACAAAACCACATCACCAACAACCACATCAACACCATCACCAACGCCAACAACTACATCACTATCAACAACCACATCAACACCGACAACAACATCATTAACACCAAAAGCAACCATATCACCAATAACCACATCACCAACAACAACCGCATCACCACCAACAGCAACAACCGCATCAACATCACCAACACTCACCAATAAATACATCAACAAACATATCACTAATACCACCAGCGACACCAACCACATCAACACCATCACCAACGCCAACAACTACATCACTATCAACAACCACATCAACACCGACAACAACATCATTAACACCAAAAGCAACCATATCACCAATAACCACATCACCAACAACCACATCAACAACAACAATCACATCACCATCAAGAGAGAGAGAGAGAGAGAGAGAGAGAGAGAGAGAGAGAGAGAGAGAGAGAGAGAGAGAGAGAGAGAGAGAGAGAGAGAGAGAGAGAGAGAGAGAGAGAGAGAGAGAGAGAGAGAGAGAGAGAGAGAGAGAGAGAGAGAGAGAGAGAGAGAGAGAGAGAGAGAGAGAGAGAGAGAGAGAGAGAGAGAGAGAGAGAGAGAGAGAGAGAGAGAGAGAGAGAGAGAGAGAGAGAGAGAGAGAGAGAGAGAGAGAGAGAGAGAGAGAGAGAGAGAGAGAGAGAGAGAGAGAGAGAGAGAGAGAGAGAGAGAGAGAGAGAGAGAGAGAGAGAGAGAGAGAGAGAGAGAGAGAGAGAGAGAGAGAGAGAGAGAGAGAGAGAGAGAGAGAGAGAGAGAGAGAGAGAGAGAGAGAGAGAGAGAGAGAGAGAGAGAGAGAGAGAGAGAGAGAGAGAGAGAGAGAGAGAGAGAGAGAGAGAGAGAGAGAGAGAGAGAGAGAGAGAGAGAGAGAGAGAGAGAGAGAGAGAGAGAGAGAGAGAGAGAGAGAGAGAGAGAGAGAGAGAGAGAGAGAGAGAGAGAGAGAGAGAGAGAGAGAGAGAGAGAGAGAGAGAGAGAGAGAGAGAGAGAGAGAGAGAGAGAGAGAGAGAGAGAGAGAGAGAGAGAGAGAGAGAGAGAGAGAGAGAGAGAGAGAGAGAGAGAGAGAGAGAGAGAGAGAGAGAGAGAGAGAGAGAGAGAGAGAGAGAGAGAGAGAGAGAGAGAGAGAGAGAGAGAGAGAGAGAGAGAGAGAGAGAGAGAGAGAGAGAGAGAGAGAGAGAGAGAGAGAGAGAGAGAGAGAGAGAGAGAGAGAGAGAGAGAGAGAGAGAGAGAGAGAGAGAGAGAGAGAGAGAGAGAGAGAGAGAGAGAGAGAGAGAGAGAGAGAGAGAGAGAGAGAGAGAGAGAGAGAGAGAGAGAGAGAGAGAGAGAGAGAGAGAGAGAGAGAGAGAGAGAGAGAGAGAGAGAGAGAGAGAGAGAGAGAGAGAGAGAGAGAGAGAGAGAGAGAGAGAGAGAGAGAGAGAGAGAGAGAGAGAGAGAGAGAGAGAGAGAGAGAGAGAGAGAGAGAGAGAGAGAGAGAGAGAGAGAGAGAGAGAGAGAGAGAGAGAGAGAGAGAGAGAGAGAGAGAGAGAGAGAGAGAGAGAGAGAGAGAGAGAGAGAGAGAGAGAGAGAGAGAGAGAGAGAGAGAGAGAGAGAGAGAGAGAGAGAGAGAGAGAGAGAGAGAGAGAGAGAGAGAGAGAGAGAGAGAGAGAGAGAGAGAGAGAGAGAGAGAGAGAGAGAGAGAGAGAGAGAGAGAGAGAGAGAGAGAGAGAGAGAGAGAGAGAGAGAGAGAGAGAGAGAGAGAGAGAGAGAGAGAGAGAGAGAGAGAGAGAGAGAGAGAGAGAGAGAGAGAGAGAGAGAGAGAGAGAGAGAGAGAGAGAGAGAGAGAGAGAGAGAGAGAGAGAGAGAGAGAGAGAGAGAGAGAGAGAGAGAGAGAGAGAGAGAGAGAGAGAGAGAGAGAGAGAGAGAGAGAGAGAGAGAGAGAGAGAGAGAGAGAGAGAGAGAGAGAGAGAGAGAGAGAGAGAGAGAGAGAGAGAGAGAGAGAGAGAGAGAGAGAGAGAGAGAGAGAGAGAGAGAGAGAGAGAGAGATGACATCACCACCACCACCACCAACAACAACCACATCACCACCAAAAACAATGACACCAACACCACCACCAACAACCACATCACCACCACCACCACCAACAACAACCACATCACCACCACCACCACCAACAACCACATCACCACCAAAAACAATGACACCAACACCACCACCAACAACAACCACATCACCACCACCACCACCAACAACCACATCACCACCAAAAACAATGACACCAACACCACCACCACCACCACCAACAACAACCGCATCACCACCCACAAGCACATCACCACCAACAACCACATCACCACCACCACCACCACCAACAACCACATCATCACCAGCAACAATGACACCAACAACCACATCACCACCAAAAACAATGACACCAACACCACCACCAACAACAACCACATCAACAAACCATACCACCCTCAACAATAACTAAAATGCCGCCAGCACTACCCTAACCCCTCCTCATCAGCAATGCCACCAAAACACTGCCACCACCATCAACAATACCAGCAGCAGCAGTACAACCATCAACACCAACACCACCACCACTACCACGAACAGGACCAGCACTACCACCACCAATACCTAACAACACCACCACCACGACCGGCGCTACCACCGCTAACACCAAACAACACCACCACTACCACCACCGGCGCTACCACCAACAACACCAGAAACACCAACACAAACAAACCCCCCGTCACCCCCATCCACCCCCTCACCATTAATAAAGGCGTCTCGATCCAGAATGAGAATCATGATGTCGTTCTCGCTGGTCTGCCGCTTGTGTCCGTTGCCGCGACGGCCGGCGATGCGGAATTCCTGAGGGGTCGCTCCGTCGGCGGCCGTCTGCAGGTTGTGGTCTCCCAGGATCACGATGGACCTGCGGGGTCGGGTAGGGGTGAGGAGGGTGTGTGTGTGTGCGTGATGAGGGAGATAAAAACGAGGGGGAAATAAGAGTAAAGGAAAGAGAGAGAGAGAGAGAGAGAGAGAGAGAGAGAGAGAGAGAGAGAGAGAGAGAGAGAGAGAGAGAGAGAGAGAGAGAGAGAAAGAAATGATGTGCGAAAACATGCGAGAAAATAAATATGAACGAAGCAAAAATAAATAAATAAATAAATTAAAAAAAAACAAAAAAAAAAAAAAATCTTTATAATAACGCAGCAAACACCTACCCCCATTACAACCAAGTACCTACCCCAGAGATTTTTTTTTTATACAAGTCGAGCGGTCGTGTGAACTTACGGATCGACGACGCCGGGGTTGTCGAAGCAGTGGGCGGCAGTGAGCACGTGGCGGCGGGAGATGAGCGTGCCCCCGCAGTTGGCAAAGAAGCGGCCATTCTGGAGACGCATGCCCACGGCCGCCAGCCACGGGTGACTCCCGATCTGCAGCACGGAGATCGGAGTGAGTTTTTGTAATCATTTTTTCTTGCTATTGTTTGATTTTTGTATATATCTTCTTATCATTATGTGTGATTTTTTTTATCATTATTATTTGTGTATATTATCCCTTCTTAATATGAATGATTAGGGATGGATTTTTG